AAGAATCACTTGAACCTGGGAAGCAGAGGTTGCAGTGAGCCGAGATCGCGCCATTGCACTCCAGCCTGGGTGACAGAGTGAGACTATCTCAAAAATTTTTTTTTCTGTACTCAACTTACAGTTTCTTTTGTCGTTATTCCCTAAATAATACAGTTTATCAGCTATTTACCTAGTATTTATGTGGTATTAGGTATTATAATTACTCTAGATGATTACTCTGTATATGGCAGGATGTGTCTAGGTTATATATAGACACTATCATTTTATATCAGAGACTTGAGCATCCATGGATTTTGTTATCTGCAGGAGGTCCTGGAACCAGTCCCCCACAGATAATAAGAGACAGCTATACATTTTGCTATGGTTTGGTGGAGTTCTATAGATGTCTCTTAGGTCTAATTGACTTAGAGTGTTGTTTTAGTCTTCTATTTCCTTTTGATTTTCTTAGTAGTTCTATTCATTGTTGAAAGTCAGGTATTGAAGTTTTCAACTACAGTCGGTATTCTCAGAGAATTTGTTCCCCTCTACCTCTTTTACGGCTCTTTTTTGAATGAAGGGATTATTTTTTAGTATAGTCATTATCGCTTAAGGACAGTGATACATTCTGAGAATTGCATCTTTAGGCTATTTTGTTCTTGTGTGAATATTACAGAGTGTACTCACACAAATTTAGGTGGTATGGCCTGCTGCACACCTAGGATATATGGTGTAACCTAACTGCTGCTAGGCTACAAACTTGTTTGGCATGTTACTCTATTGAATACTGTAGGCAGTTGTAATACAATGGTAAGTATTTGTGTATCTAGACATTTCTAAACATAGAAAAGGTAATGCAACATGTTAGACGTTTTGATGACTATGATGTCACTAGGCAATATTAATTTTTCAGCTCCATTATAATCTAATGGGACTACTGTCATATATGCAGTTTGTCATTGACCAAAATGTGACTATGCAGCACAAAATTGTATGACATTTTAATTTTGTACGTTTTTCTCTATATTTTTTGCTCTCTCTCTTTTTTTTTTATGGTTACTCAAGGGATTATCAGGTACAGCTGAAAATTTATACTAACTTAATTGCAGTGAGATAAAGAAGTATTCTTAAATAACTCTATTTTGATTCCTTTTTTTGTGCCATTGTTGTACTTATGACATCATTATGTGTTGCAAACCTAATAGTACGTTGTTATACTTAGTATTTTATGTAATTCAATGTTTTTAGAGAAGCTGAGAGAAGAAAGGAGAGCAAATATACATTTACAGAGTTTGCTTCATTAACGTTCTTATTTATGGTTGTGTTTTTTTCTTCATTTATTTCTATGGATTTGGGACACCATCTCTTGTCATTTCCTTAGTTCGGTACAGCCTTGCTTTCACCTGCCTCCTGTGGGCTGATACTGTCAAATATATTGTGATTTTTATATGTTATGGGCCCAACGATACAATTATATGCATATTGGCAGGGCGTGGTGGCTCATGCCTGTAATCTCAGCACTTTGGTAGGCTGAGGTGGGTGGACCACTTGAGGTCAGGAGTTCAAGACCAGCCTGGCCATCATGGTGAAGCCCCATCTTTACTAAAAATATAAAAATGAGCTGGGTGTGGTGGTGCATATCTATAATTCTAGCTACTCAGGAGGCTGAGGCACGAGAATCACTTGAACCTGGGAGGTAGAGGTTGCAGTGAGCTGAGATTGTGCCA